AAAAAAAAAAAAATTAAAAAAAAAAAAAAAAAAAGAAGCTATTTTGATACATACAAAACAAAAATTGTAAAAGGGGCGCCTGTGGCTCAGTCAGTTAAGCATCCAACTCTTGACTTCCGCTCAGGTCACAATCTCAGTCATGGGATCAAGCCCGACATCGGACTCTGTGCTGAGCATGAAGCCTGCTTGGAATTCTCCCTCCGTCCCTCCTCTGCTCACGTACTCTCTCACTCTCTCTCTCTCTAAAATAAATAAATCAACTTAAAAACAAAAACAAAAATTTTAAGTGGTAAGAAGTGTACTGTGCAGCATTTTTAAATTTCTTGGTGGTATACAAAATAGTGATTTTTACAACTGAAAGTATAAATCCAGGAAATCTAAAAGAAGTTTAACACTAGCCACATACTTGAATCTAAACACAATTACAGGGGCTCCTGGGTGGCTCAGTCAGTTAAGCATCCAACTTCAGCTCAGGTCATGATCTCACGGTTCATGAGTTTAAGCCCCGTTTCGGGCTCTGTGCCGACAGCTCAGAGCCTAGAGCCTGCTTCAGATTCTGTGTCTCCCTCTTTTCTCTGCCTCTCTCTCTCTCAAAAATAAACATTTAAAAAAAATCTTTAAAAACAATTACAGACTAAAGTCACAAGTGTACAAATTTATAAAACAAACAAACAAAAAAACAAAGAAAGGCTGTTTCCTAGCCTCTAATAGTCCTTTTTAGCTCAATACTTGAGGTCTACTTTTATCGTATCCATCATTTAACTCAACAAATAGTAACTAAGCAGCCACCAGTACCCACCAGGATGCTAGGCATCCATCCAGGCTTTCCCTCTAGGACCAGCAGAGACGTTAAGCAGGAGAGTCTGTCCAGCTGAAGATACACCAGTCCTACTCATCATAAGACACTCCAGTACCACCTGGTTCTAGTTCTAGGTGTGTGTCTTATTCTCCTAAGCTTGTGCAGCCCGGCAATATTCTTGGTAATGTGCCAGGCAGTCCCCACAGAACTGCTCCAGAATGAGGCCCTGCCATGCTCTTGGTAGTCCCCCACGAAGCTCCCCCACAGAGGTGGCGCCCCTATGCCTTAGCGGCTTTCCTAATGCCAACTGTTCACTGTCTCCACTATTTGCAAACACTCCTCACTCTCAACTTTCTCACTGCCTCATTCTACTTCCGTGCCAGGATGCTGCATTTACTAACTTACCATCTGCTGTCTGGTCTCATAGCCATTGAATAACATGTTCTGTGTCACAGCCTGGATGTCCTGTAGCTTCAGTTTCTACCAATGACTGTCCTGTCCAGCACTTGAGTCTAATTCTGAATCTCAACCTCTCCCGGCCATGCGTCTAACTATCCAACAATCACTTATTGAGCATCTTTGTTCTAAGCACTGGGGATACAGCAATGGACAAAAAATGTTCCTGCCTTTGTAAAGGTTATGTTCTAGTAAAAGGATACTGACAATAAATAAAATAGTAAGTAATACAATGAGACAGACATAAATGTTAGGAAGAAAAATAAGGTACAGTCTGAGGATAAAAAGTGACTGGGCAGAGAGGAAGTGGAAGGCTTCTTTGATGACGTGACATTGGATCAGAAACCCGAATGAAATGAAGGAGAGAGGCATGTAGAAACCAAGGAAAAGAACATCCTAGGAAAAGAGAAAAAAAAACAAGTGCAAGGCCCACGAGGTGAGAGCATACTTCAAGGGTTGAAGAAACAGCAAGAAGGCCAATGTTGCTGAAACTCTGGAAGTAAGGAGAGGGTACAAGATGAAGCTGGAAAAATTACAAGGCCAGATCAGGAAGTCTCATAGGCCGTGATAAGAACGTTCGACTCTGGGCGCCGGGGCGGAATGTTAGATTTGATTGTAGATGTGCTGGAAAGCCATTGGAAGGTTTTGACCAGGGAACTAAAGTGACCACAAGTGCATTCTCTAAAAGGCCTCTAGGGGCGTCTGGGTGGCTCAATGGGTCACTTAAGTGACTGGCTCAGGTCATGATCTCACGGCTCGTGAGTTCAAACCCCGTGTCGGGCTCTGCACTGGCAGCTCGGAGCCTTGAGCCTGCTTTGGATTCTATGTCTCATTCTCTCTCTGCCCTTCCCCTGCTTGTGCTCTGTCTCTCAAAAATAAATAAATGCAAAAAATAAAAAAAAAATTTTTTTTAATAATAAAAGGCTTTTATAAGACATTCTGGAAAATATGAAATTACAGGGACAGGAAAACATCAGTGGAGATACTTAGGGGTAGACTACAGAGGGGTAGCACAAGAGAATTTGGGGGGAATGACAGCAGATCTTGATTATGGTGGCGGTTATAGGGATGTATGCACTGTCAATCTCACAGCATTGTGCACCCAAGAGTGGATTTTACTGCACATAAACTCAAAGGAAGTGGGACACACACAGCCTACTCGGACTGCTGTGTGAACAGGACATATGGGTGCAGATAAGAAGGGGGCAATAAGGAGACCAATTAGGAGACTATTACAATAATCCAGACCAATTCGAGAGCAGAATGGTAGCAGTGGAGTTGGCAAAACGTGTCTGGATTCAAGACAGTTTGAAAGCAGAGCCAAGAGATCTGCGTAGGTTTTATCACCCAGTATTAAGTCTCTCACTGGGGGACTGATGGGGTACAAACGTTGCTATACTCAGACGTAATCTTTAACTTACAACAGTCCTTGTGACACATTTAGCTGGTGGCAACACCAGGATCAGAGCCTTAGACTATGAGGTCCTGGTCCAATGGCCATCCAGTTACCCTGCTGCTCCCCTGAAACTGTAAAATGCTTGCAGAGGGAAAGAATTGTCTTACTTAGCTTTTTCACACATATACCTTGCATACTACCTTGCAAATAGCAGAACTCAGCAAGTATCTAGGTAAAAGTAATAAAAATGCACTTTTTAAAAATAATGATGTAATTCAGATAGTCCACTAATTCCGACTTACCTCTCCTTCCAAATTACTCTGAATTAATTAGGGCTTATGATACTAGCATTAACAGAAGCAATAGTTAAGTTCAATAGAATTATAGAAAGGGTTGGCTTTTGGCCGAAATCTTATCAAATATCCAAGACATTCACAGAATTGAATATAAAAAAGCAAAAATCTAAAGAAATGGGGCAAAGAAAGCTTGAAAAATCTGTTAAGTGTAAGAAAATGTACCTTAAGGCAAAGACAGGTATAGAATAAGGATAGATAATAAACAAAATAACTATATGTTAGTAACTACTAAATACCTTCTAGAATAGTTTTTTTTTTTTTTAACTTATTTTTAATTTATTTTTTGAGAGAGAGAGACTGGGTGCATGTGACTGGCCCACCCAGGCACCCCTAGGACAGGTTTTTTTTAATTTTTTTTTTTAATGAGGCTATGAAGGGGCACCTGGGTGGCTCCGTCAGTTAAGGATCTGACTTTTGATTTTGGCTCAGGTCATGATCTCACAGTTCATGAGATTAAATCCCACAGTGGACTCTGTGCTGACAACAGGGAGCCTGCTTCAGATTATCTTTCTGCCCCTCCCCTGCTGAAGCTCATTTTCTCTCTCTCTCTCAAAATAAATAAATAAGCATTATTAAAAAAAAAAAACAAAACAAAACACCCACTCTTTAAAAACAATAATAAAAATTTAAAAATGAAGCTATGAAATTTACTCAATGGGTCATGACAAGTATGTTTACATATTATATATTACATTATCTTACATTACATTATATGATATGATATAGGATATTTTACATATTTACATACAGTTTGTACCAAGTCACAAAATATTTTCTACTGTGGACTGCTATCCAAAGTTTGAAAGTCTCTGCTGCCAAAAATAAAATCTGAACTCACCATTTTTTTGGCATGTTCTTCACACAGAGGGGTCTGGTGTGTAATGTCAAACACGGGCACAGAGCACTGCTGTCCGTCTGCAAACTTGGCCGTGCAACTTGAGAAAAGCTGCTGAGAGCGGTTCAAGAGGATATCTGTGTTTTTCAAAGTTAAGAATGTAATACACTGAAACTCAAATTACTTTTTAAAATTTGTATATAAAATCTGCTTCTTCCCTTATGTTTAGCAAGTAATACATTTTCTTATCTATAAAAGCTAAAGAATGGGGCGCCTGGGTGGCGCAGTCGGTTAAGCGTCCGACTTCAGCCAGGTCATGATCTCGCGGTCCGTGAGTTCGAGCCCCGCGTCAGGCTCTGGGCTGATGGCTCAGAGCCTGGAGCCTGTTTCCGATTCTGTGTCTCCCTCTCTCTCTGCCCCTCGCCCGTTCATGCTCTGTCTCTCTCTGTCCCAAAAATAAATAAACGTTGAAAAAAAAAAAAAAAGCTAAAGAATGAACCCAACTACTGATGTGGGAAAATGGTAATTGTTGAATTTATCAGAAGATAAAAGAGTCTGTTTTGCTAAAGGACTCCTAATAGGTGTCTCTTTAATAGCCTTTCTGATTTTTGTTATTTGGAAAAAGGAGGGTTGTTTAAGTCTTCACACACTATTAAAAGTTGCACTATAATGGTAAAAAAAACAAAAACAAAAACAAAAAACTTTAAGGAAAACTTTTTGCATACAATCCTTAGTAAGAATGGGGCACCTGGGTAACTCAGTCGGTTAAGTGTCCCAACTTCAGCTCAGGTCATGATTTCCTGGTTCATGAGTTCCAGCCCTGCGGCCAGCTCTGTGTTGACAGCTCAGAGTGTTGACAGCTCAGAGAGTGGAACGTGCTTCAGATTCGGTCTCAGTCTACCACTGTCCCTCCCCCACTCACCCTCTGTCTCTCTCTCTCTCAAATATAAATATTCTTTAAAAAGAATAAAAATTTTGGGGCGCCTGGGTGGCGCAGTCGGTTAAGCGTCCGACTTTAGCCAGGTCACGATCTCGCGGTCTGTGATTTCGAGCCCCGCGTCGGGCTCTGGGCTGATGGCTCGGAGCCTGGAGCCTGTTTCCGATTCTGTGTCTCCCTCTCTCTCTGCCCCTCCCCCGTTCATGCTCTGTCTCTCTCTGTCCCAAAAATAAATAAACGTTGAAAAAAGAAAAAAAAATTAAAAAAAATAAAAATAAAAATAAAAATAAAAAGAATAAAAATTTTAATTATATTTTAATTCTAAAAAACTCATCGATCCAAATTTGGATTTTTCATTTAGCATTTCCAACACAAAACTCAAACTTACAACTTATGAAAACTTACTTTTAGATCAAAACCATACCATTAAAATTGGAACATCAGTTTTATTTATTTTTTTTTTTTAATAATGCTTTTACTTTTATTCTTGAGAGAGACAGAGCGTGAATTGGGGAGAGGCAGGGAGAGAGGGAGACACAGAATCCAAAACAGGCTCCAGGCTCTGAGCTGTCAGCACAGAGCCCGACGTGGGGCTTGAATTCGGGAATGGTGGGATCATGACATGAGCCGAAGTTGGATGCTTAACTGACTGAGCCACCCAGGCGCCCCAGAACATCAGTTTTATATCATAAACATTTTTAAGCATCCAAACTTTTAGCCCCTGGCTACATATTCTAAGACTTATTTTATACCTATCAAGAAAGTACCCTTCTGTTTTTCCTTTTTGCTTTTATAGTTAAGGCGATTTGTAAAACTACATAGAAAGTGATGCTGAAAAGTGAAAATTTAATCCCAAGAACAGAAAGGAAGGCAAAAAGTCAAAGACAATAAAGAACAAGTAACTGCTACTGTATAATTTTTTTAAATGCTACTCAATTTTAAATGTTTAATAAAACGGAAAATAGTAAGACTTCATAACCAGCCTGAATGAAACCCTTTTACCACAGGTTTCCTTCTAGTATATTCTGTCTTAATGTATCTTTTTTCCCAGTCAGTGAAGTTCATCCTTCCTTCATTTCAAATCAGCACTGTACCCAACACAAATAGCAAACTATTCCCAGAGCAAAAGGCACACTGTAAAATTGTATAACTTTCTTGGAAGATTAAAAACAGTTTTTGAATAATATGATTTGATATTTCCATCAATTGAGTGTTATATATAGTTGCTTCTTACAAGCTACTTAAGAGGCACCACAAGAACCAGAATTCTGTTAACAAAATTTAATCAAGTGCCAGCCACTGGAAGAATCTGCTACTTGCCATCAATTTTGCCAATTTTGATGTAATTCTTGAAAAAGAATCACAATGATGTAAGCAGAGAAAAAGTATCCAGAAGACATCATGAAAATTAGAAGTTATATAAAAATTATTTTGAACATCAAATAGTTATGATTTCAAAAGTCATTCACGTGGCTTAAGAATGAAATATGAACCCGAATGAATTCATACTTTTATGCCCACTCAATTAAGAGGATACGTTGGAAACAATGTCTGGTGAATGGAAGGGCTTTGTTAGGGCACTGTTCACCCTTCACGGTTCCACTGCATGCTGCTGGTTCCACCTCCCTCAACTTGGTCCGGCTTATGCTAAGGAAGGAAAAACACATTAATTTTTTAACAATGCGTTAGGAATCCAGGGCAACTTTTCAACACTATGTTAGCAGAGTGCAACACCAACATTTTACTTTTCCACATTCGTTAAATGAAAGGTAAATATGAGTTACGATGACCAGTTCCAATATTTCCCTAATTTACCGACAAAAGAAATAATTATAAATGATTTCCACTATGTCTGGTTTTTTTTCTTTCTTAAGTGACATTTTGGTTCCTTTTACTTCACAAAGAGGCAACAAGCAGACAAAAGTGATCAAGAACATGAGACTAGATTAATCGGGTCTAATTCTGAATCTCAGCCCTAACTCTTACTAGCTGTGTGACCTTGGGCAAGTTACTTAGCCTCGCTTGAGTCTCAACTTCTTCACCTATAAAGTGGAGACAGAGTACCTTTAGTGGACAGGTAAGCACCAAGATACAACACATCCAAAATACCTATCATAAGTAGCAGATGGTAGGATACCTAGTAAACAGTCCATGGCTGTTAGTTGCTGGTATTATTATCATCGTCAGATTTGGGCCATGTCAAGCTGCTGAACAGTAAATGTGCAAAAAACTTGATCTATGATGTGAGGAAAGGGATTATGATATGCAGAAATGATTGATTTGCTCTCATCTTCCAAAATGAACTCACTTTGGATATATTCTTTTAACTTTTTATAGTATGTGCAACTCCTTCTTTCATTAAATGTTATCTCCACTTGGCACATTCAATGTTTCAATGTTTAAATCTTGTTTTTAAATTTACGAATAGGCGATGTGTTCACATGGTTCCAGAAAAACCAAAGAATAAAAACCAAGCAGTGGAGAGTCTCCTTTCTCCCCTTGTCCCAATTTGCAAGTTCCTACTCCCTCTATAGTTAGTATTCATTTTATTAGTTTCTGGATCTTTCCATAGTTTTACACAAACATAAAAAAAATAAAAATATCCAAATTCTCAGAAGTACAAAACGACCCTGTTTGATTCTATAAAGCATCACAAACTAGTAGGCTTTTATGCACGTCTGAGCGTAGAAAAAGAATCTACGTAATACACTGAATCACAAGTCAGGTGTCAAAAACAAAATATCTTTTGAATTGTTTGTTTCTATATCTAAGGATTTTGATAGAATGGCTTACGCTAATTAGAAGGTCATACAGAACCAAAATTACATATGAATTTATAGCAAATCTAAACAACATTTCTATTATAACTTTCATATAAATAGTAACTGCAAACAGATAACCGGGGGCTGCCAGAGAAGTTGCTTTAATTGACAGTTCTGTAAGATTTGTCAGAATCACAAGAATGGGGAAGTGGGCCATTAACTTCAGCTCTGTAAAAAGGACACACAATTTCAAATAAAGGAAGCTTTACTATTTTGGCAGCTTAGCCCAAATTCTCTTGGTCTAGATTTAAATAGCAGGTAGTTCTCTATGCTGAATGGATAATTTTTGTAGAACACTTTTTAATAATTCGCTCAGCCATCTACAAAACCTAGGGTAGAGCACATTCCCTCATTTTCTTTATCCTACACTTCAAAAGGAACCACCGGTTTCATTTTTTAAAATTGCTGATCTATGTCTTAAAACAAACAGCAAAATAAAGTCAGTATAAATAAACTCAGAGTCAGAATTTCAATATGCCCCTGGATAATTAAGGTAAAAATGCCTGACATTAGATCTATTTTATTATCCAGATAATCCCAACAAAACAAAGGGAGAATTACCAAAACATTTTGATGTTTTTATTTATTTTTTATTTTACTTTTTTTTTTTTAAATTTATATCCACGTTAGTTAGCATACAGTGCAACAATGATTTCAGGATTAGTGCCCCTTACCCATTTAGCCCATCCCCCCCCCAACCCCTCCAGTAACCCTCAGTTTGTTCTCCATATTTATGAGTCTCTTCTGTTGTGTCCCCCTCCCCGTTGTTTGTTTTTTTTTTTAATCTTTTTAAATGTTTTTATTTATTTTTGAGACAGAGAGAGAGAGCATGAGCAAGGGAGGAGCACAGAGAGAGGAAGACACAGAATCCAAAGCAGGCTCCAGGCTCTGAGCTGTCAGCACAGAGGCCAACGTGGGGCTCAAACTCACGGACTGTGAGATCATGACCTGAGCTGAAGCTGGATGCCCAACTGACTGAGCCACCCAGGCGTCCCTACTGCCTGTTTTTATATTATTTTTGTTTCCCTTCCCTTATGTTCATCTGTTTTGTCTCTTAAAGTCCTCATATGAGTGAAGTCATATGATTTTTGCCTTTCTCTGACTAATTTCGCTTAGCATAATGCCCTCCAGTTCCATCCACGTAGCTGCAAATGGCAAGATTTCATTATTTTTGATTGCCGAGTAATACTCCATTGTATATATATCCCACATCTTCTTTATGCATTCATCCATCGATGGACATTTGGGCTCTTTCCATACTTTGGCTATTGTTGATAGTGCTGCTATAAACATGGAGGTGCATGTGTCCCTTCGAAACAGCACACCTGTATCCTGTGGATAAATGCCTAGTAGTGCAACTGCTGGGTCGTAGGGTAGTTCCATTTTTAGTTTTTTGAGGAACCCCCATACTGTTTTCCAGAGTGGTTGCACCAGCTTGCATTCCCATTGATGTTTTTAATATGAAAACACTCACTACAAGCTTCTCTTTTGTGTGATTAGATGCCCCTTTAACAATAGTTTCTACACAAACAGCACTAGTCTCTCTATTGTGGCTACAAGGTAGTTCAATTAGAGTTTACATACTTTAAAAGCTATTTCAGTGGCTTATTCCACATATTCACCAACATATATGACAAAGTTATTAGATGAGAAAGAATAATGTTATTCAGGGGCACCTGGGTGGCTTAGTTGGTTGGGCGGCTGACTTCAGCTCAGGTCATGATCTCACGGTTCATGAGTTCAAGCCCCACGTCGGGCTCTGTGCTGACAGCTCAGAGCCGGGAGCCTGCTTCAGTTTCTATGTCTCCCACTTTCTGCCCTCACCCTCACTCATGTTCCCTCCCTCCCTCCCTCTCTCTCTCTCAAAAATAAACATTAAAAAAAATTTTTTTAAAGAATAATGTTATTCAGCTTATATCCAAGCTATATTTTAAAAGGCTACCTATTAAAAGGCAGCCACTAAAGTTTTAATTTCTAAAATATTTTAAAAGCGACTTTTTAAATATCTTTTGTGGAACTGGTCTTTGAAAGCAAAAATATCAAATAGAGGGCATTATCCAACTGACACTGATTTTTGTGAACCTAAAATATAATGTAAACTAGCAAGTTACCAATCACCAACAAATGATTATGGCTCATTGCTAAATGAGTACCAGTGATGCACTGGGCAACAGACTTTTTACTAATCTTTAGTGACATAACCAAAAGGCGTCTTGGTATTTGTTTAGTAATATTTAGTTATCATGACGTTTTTAAAACATCACTAACAGTGGTTTGGGAACTTTTCTGAAAAAAAGCGGTCAGGGGGACCTAGATTCTACCAGCTAAAAATCATAGATAAATAGTTTTCTACACAAATACTAAATTGTCCCAAACTCCGAGTACAGTCCCTTACATCTTTGACAAGGTCATAATAACATACTAGATTCAAAGTATACAGTGCTCTACATACAAACTGCTTCATGCTGGACGAAACTAAAGTTTCTACTGAAATGATACGCTTGCCAAGCATTATGTAAATGTTAGATAGCGTTATTTTAAACCTATGTCAAACCAAATGAATTCTTTCAACAAATAGAGAACAGGCATGTTTAATTCTATTCATCTGTTCAACACTAGAGACTTAAGAACAAAACGTACATTGTTCCTGCCCTCACAAAAATTACCGTCTGACATTGTATACAATTCTACAATGAAGCAGAGCTCAATAAGCACATGTAACAGGGGGACCAAACACAGTCAGTGGAACATGGGAATTTCTCTCCGAGAAGGCTAAGTCAGTAAGCGAGGACCTGACGAATGTTACAGAACGGACACTACCTACCCCCGCCCCTACAGAGGAGCAGGAACTGTGAGTGAGGGAGAATACTGGAGGCAGCAATCATTACGTAGGTTTATTAACTAGACATACAAGCTTTCAAACAATTCTAAATATGTCAAGAAGCAGAAAACTCTGAAGGGTATAGTTATCTTTTGGATAGATGCCATCAAAAAGTAGTTATTGTTTTTTTTAATAGCAAATATAATGAAAACCAAAATACACAAAACTAAAAAATATATAGATATGTAAGAAATATGATCAGTAGCTGAAAATCAAAGGTTATTTTTCTTAGTTTGGTCTGTTTTAAACCCCTATTTCCTCAGTGACTTATGAGCATTAGAGAAAAATTGGAATATATAGACTATAATTTTTTTCAAACTTTATCAATAATCCTACCCTCTGAGATAGCCACTGCTAATATTTTGGCATAAAACTCCTAAAAGTGTGTGTGTGTGTGTGTGTGTGTGTGTGTGTGTGTGTGTCTCAAGGTTGTTATCTGAAAAAAACAAGTAAAAAGTGTGAAATAATAAACTCAATCTAGAACTGTGCCTTCTAAATTTGAAAATTATTTCCTTAATTAAATATGAAGATATTTTGGAAACTTTTAATTCAATTAAGCTAGTAGTTTCAAAAGGTACATAACCTAAATAAGTAATTACAATTAAGTTTTCACCACCTAAACTAATTTCCAAAATGGTAATAATACAATTTCTTCACTGAAATATCAGATAGCTCTACATTTCCAATATATGGATTTTCATTTAAAAATAGTATCACACATTTTTAAGAACACATGTTTTCAAAATAATTTTTAAGAACACAAGGGAATGGCTAGGATATATTCTTAAGGGAAAAAACTGGACACATAACTCTTAAGCAGTATGGATCCAATGTTGCTTAAATACATACTTAAAATTTAAGGAGTCCAAAGACTAATTATGAAGTCATTAAAAATCGTGTTTTAAAGAACATCAGGAGAAAATGGCAATAATTGAATGTTAAGTGGGGAAAAAAGCAGGAAATAAAATATACATATAGCATGATCTCATTTTTCCTTTTTAATACAAATGCATGGCTCCCTGGAGATTTCCTACACACGCAAACACACACATGTGTACACACAAGCAGAAGAAAAGACTAGAAGGAAACAACCAAAATATTTACAGTGCTCATTCTTTGTTTTCTGCATGGTGATATTGTGGAAAATTTCCCCTTCTTTTTTCTACATTTTTCAAATTTACAAAGCAATTACCTGGACTAGAAACAGAAAAGAGATTTTCCCTAAAAGAAATGCAATGGAATAAAGTATTTTGAAGACATAATATGTGAGAAAGAAAATTTTTAAATAAGAAGTAAAATGTAAAATGCTACTTTCGTGGTTAAAAAAAAACCCATAAACCCTACTTCTAAATAATACATGAAATTTGAAAGCATCGTTATTTTTGTAAAGACAGGTGGCACTCTCCAATACTTCACTACATAAATTCATCTGGCAGAAACACAGCAATGCTTCTACTGTCAGCTCGTGGTGCTGTTATGTTGCCACCTGTACAACTCTCTGAGCAACTAAACCAAGGTGCAATGCTTCGACATTTCAGGTTTAAATGCCCACTGCCCACTGTGTCTCCGCTATCCACTCAACAAAATACAGAAGCCAGACAGAGACGAGTTCCTTACAAACAGGTGGCTGCCTAGGGTTCTAACCTGGTTCGGCTGCACGCAGCTCTCTGCAGTTCCTGGATTAACTGACCGGTACACTCGGGTTCTCTGCTGGCCGCCTGCAGCAAGGCTTTCCTAAACGTGTGCCGGCATTTCTTTTGACGAGATTCTGCCCGCTCCAGGCGGCAGAGGTGCTTATATTTCTGCTGAAAGTAAGTGCAAAGTTGGGTCACCCTGGAGCTCCTACTCTCCGTATCATCGTCATCTGACCTGGAAAGCGCAGGGAGAGAAGTGAAAACCTGATTAAGTGTGAGGCTCATTGGAGAGGGGAAAAGCAGGTCAAGAAGCTGGCCAACATGGGGTAAAATCCGTGGCAGGTGAGCATATGCTTAACAAAATTAGAGGATGAGAAATCCAGGAGAGCTGGAAAGTACCGTATTTCGACAACAAGTAAGGCAGCAGAGACAACCCAACGCTTTCAGAACCTTCTTAGCATCTCCTCGTTAGACACTTCATGCATCATTGTCTTCTAAATTTCAGGTGACTTGGGGTTCTTGGGATTCTTGGGAAGAAAATCATGTTACCTTTGCTTACTAAAAGTCTGAGTAAATGACACGGCAGTTATGAGGAAACACTCAGCAAATTTCATAAAAGATAGGTCATACCAGAAATAGAGCAGTGAATTCCTGCAGCACCTTCTCGAAGAGCTGCCCTTTTATGTGTGCTGGTTTTAACTACTCTTTTCTTGCTAAGCACTTAAAGAATTTTGATTGCAGGGATCACAACCATTCCACAGTATTTTTCATTTTACCTTTTTAACCACAGAAGATATCCTAAACATCATTTCACGTATCATGGATTACACAGAGGTTTTTCTGTCATGATGGTAATTTCGAGCGGCCAGTGGACCCCCACTAGCCTGCAACCTTGAAAAGGATGCTGAGGCCACATCGAGACTCAACAAGAGTGCTGTGGTAGGCGGGCAGTGTCTACCCTGGTGAGGTTAAAAAGGTCACTTTTCTATGGAACAAATGTAATCTCACCTTTTACTCTTAGGAATAATGCACACCAGACTCGAAAACTGACCCAGGTTACTTTACCTTCTTCAAACAGCGCGTATGTGATACTACAGACTATTTATTATTTTACTGATCTTCTGTAAATCATTGCTTGGCTTCTCTTAACTTCCTAAGTGATATCATTCCCTTTCGTTTCAAAATAGTCCGTAGGTGGCTACTTCGCAAATTTCCAGTCTAAGAAGTAAGTCCTAAGAAACAAGTTCTCTAAGAAACAAGTATAGTCTCTACTACAAATATACCAATTGAAGGATCTTATTCAATCTTTTCATTTATTCAACACTCAATTTGCTATGTGTCTATTATGTTGAGTACCATAGAGGAGAAAAAAAAAATGTAAGCAATTCTCAATGCGGTTTAGATAGGATGAGCACATACCCAAAGTTAATTCAAAAGACGATCGAATCAGTAACTAGAACAGTGGGGCAGGCTGACCAATGATTCAAATACCTGACCTTAAGTTAGAAAAATCTAGGAGCTTCTCACAATTTGAGATCCCAAGACCTACACTAGATCTACTGAACCAGAATTTCCATGGAATGGGGCCTAGGAATCTTTATTCTGAATTGTTCCCAAAGTCCCACAGCAGGATTTCATGCGGGAGCTCTAGTTGAGCCAGTAGGTGCTATTAATATCCTTAACATGAGGCAGAGAACAATAAGTGACAGAGAGAGTTACAGATATGGCTCAAGTGCCACTGAAGTTCACTAGCAAGTATGCTGGATCAGAGGCTTCGTTTTTTTGTTTATGCTTGCTTGCTTGCTTGCTTATTTATTCATTTATTTATTTATTTATTTTGAGAGAGGTGGGGAGACAGCGAGAATCCCAAGCAGGCTCTGTGCTGTCAGCAAGGAGCCCAATGTGGGGGCTCGATCTCATGAACCCTGAGATCATGACCTGAGGCAAAATCAAGAGTCAGATGCTTAACTAACTGAGCCACCCAAGCACCCCTGGATAAGAGGCTTCATAGAGGAGATGTCAACGGAGCTGAACCATAAAGAAAGGGCAGAATTTAAAGAGAAGAAAAAGGGCACCTCACAAAGATAAAGGAATACAGGCCAGGCTTTGAAGATGGACAGGATGGGGAACAGTAAGTACTAACTAGCTAGCTTTTGCTAAGGTGTGGGGTACATAGGGGAGTGATGGCAGGAACGGTAAACTTTCTGAACCTAAACTAAACACCAGATGAAAGGCTTTCACTTTTATTCTACAGGCAGTGAAGACCCTCATAGAGTTTGAAGAAAATCGGTAACAGTAACAGGTGGGTGCGAGAAAGATGACACCATCAGCAGACGGAAATGAGGAAGAGACTGGGGGAAAGGGCAGGGAGCAAATGATTCTGAAACTCCAGGTAACAGGTAACAAGAACCCACGCCGGGGTGACACAGCAGGAATGCAGAAGAGGAGAGGTAACCCGCATATATAAAAGGCAGACCTTGTCAACTGGGACAGGTAGATGGAAGGGACGAGAATCCCATGGCAGTTTCCATCACCGAAGACCAGGGCACAGGAACAAGAGCAGATCCAGGGCAGGACATAAATTCCATTTCAGACGTAAAGAATTTAAAGTACAGATGAGGTATCAAAGGCAGCAGTGGGAAAACCGTTGGACATGATAAACAGGAACACAGTTAGGGAAGGAGTACAGATTTCATAGCCCAAAACCAGCAACTGAAGGACAAGGGAGTGACTGTACGTAAAACGGCACAGAGATAATAGAAGGAACAAGGCATATAAGGGCCATTATCATAAAAGAATTAACTCAATTTGGTGACTGGATATAAAGGATAAGAAAACCAATAATGACTCAATGACTTTGAACTTGCATAACTAGGAGAATGGAAGGGCTATTAATAGAAAAAAGAGAGGAGAAACAACAAGTCTTAAAGGGAAAGTAAAGCTCAGGTAGATAATCATTTGCCAAAGCTGTTATTTGAAAAGACTCCATTATATTATAGCAGGGAGGAGAGACTAGCCCAGCAGTTCTCAAGTGTACAGTGAATGGAGAGAAGCACCTGGATGTTGAGGCGGGTTCCAGCATTACAAAAGTATTCAAAGCTTATAAGGAATTTCCAGGCTTATCTTGTTGCGGACCAGGAAGCAGCAGTTTGAAGACCTGCACAGGTCCACAGACCACCCCTGACATGGTCCTTAACCAGAAAATCTCCCAACATGCCTCCCACTTCTAAGATGTTGTGACATTAGTATTTCACACCTGGTTGCGGAGAAAGAGTAGCAAACTGGGCAGAGAAAGGCCAGTGTCCGTCATTGACCAGCAGTGACAAGGCCTGGCACCTACTGCATTCTTGGTATGTTACCTTCCTTCCTTATCTGTGAAATAAAAGAGACCTGAGGCTTGGGGGCGCCTGGGTGGCTCAGTCGGTTAAGCGTCCGACTTGGGCTCAGGTCACGATCTCACGGTTCAGGAGTTCGAGCCCTGCGTCAGGCTCTGGAGCTTGCTTTGGATTCTGTCTCCCCCTCTCTCTCTGCCCCATCCCTGCTTGTGTTGTCTCAAAAATAAATAAATAAACATTTAAAAAAGAGAGAGAGCTGGGTTGTCTAGCTCCCAAGGTTGTTAGGAGAATGAAAAGAAAAGACTTACCTGAAATTAGAATACAAGTATAGCTACTATTATTAAATAGAGAAACCTAGGAATACTGGGTGGCTCAGTCAGTTAAGCATCTGACTCTTGATTTCGGCTCAGGTCATGAACTCGTGGTTTATAAACTCAAGACCTATGTCCGGCTCTGCTGACAGTGTGGAGCCTCCTTGAGATTCTCTGTTTCCCTCTCTCTCTGCCCCTCCCCTGCACACATGCGCTCTCTTTTACTAAAAATAAGTAGTAAACATACACACATACACACACACACACACGAGATACACCTATATCCATTAACTAGCCTAAACAGTTTTACCATGAGTTCTATCAATATCCAAAGAAAAACTAATTCTAATTACACACAAAATACTCCAGATGTCAGAAAAGAGGGGAATATTCTCCTTTAATACAAGTACCCTAAGCTTGATACCAAAAATAAGGGGAAATATGACAAAAGGAAAATTATAGGAAAAGCTTGTTAATGATCCCAGAGGCAAAAAATATTAGCAAATTGAATCTAGCAGTATATAATAAAGGACATATCCAATCTGGGTTAATTATTTAATATTTCTCAATCCTACCTTACTATACATCTCTTCTGCAAAACAACACAATTTATTCTTCCTCTTTTCCTTTCATGTTAAAAGTTTCTACTTCCTTGCTTCCTCCTGTTATTTTCCCCATTTCCTTCTATTCTCTTTCCAGTCATCACTCCATTTTTAGAAATTCTCTAACTTCAACATCAACTTATATGCTGCGGACATGAATTTGTTCTCTAGCCCATACCTCACAATGATATTTCAGACACAGGATACTTGGTGTGCTCACCCACATCTAACTACCCAAGAAATGCTAGAATTAGCAGGACAGAGTACTGGGAGGAGACAGGTGCACAGAGAGAAGCACTCTGCAGATCTACAGAGGATTCCCCTCAGTTCCTCACTTGAGTCCTGCGATCAGTACAGGAGTGTGGGAAATACTGGAGGCCAGGAAAGAACCACCTGAAAAGAGGAGGCCCAACTAATCCCAGCAGCACATGCAGGGCCAGGGTTAGTTTGTGTTCCCACTATCCCAAGCGGAAAAACCTGCAATATGCAGGGCACGGGGTAGACTACTCAGGAGCGTATGCCTCAGTAGTGGGGTGAAATCAGCCCTACACTAAAGGCTGTTGTGGTCCCATTTCACAAAGTTTAAAAAGCAAGCCTCAAAAGCTGCTTCTAAGAAACAACCATCTCCCAAAACAAAGCTCTTTAAAGATGACAAAATACCAGAATCAAATAAGTAAAATTAACAATGTCTGACATCTAATTAAAAATTACCAGGGGGCGCCTAAATGGCTCAGTCAATTGGGCATTCGACTCTTGGTTTTGGCTCAGGTCATGGTATCACAGTTTGTGAGTTCAAGCTCTGCGTGGGGCTCTGTACTGACAGTGCGGAGCCTGCTTGAGATTCTCTCTCCCTCCGTCTCTCTCTCTCTCTCTCTCTCTCTCTCTCTCAAAATAAATAAATAAAACTTTTAGTAAATCAGGAATCAATGGACAATTATAACTATATTTCACACGTTTGAGAAGGTAGAGTCATCATGACCGTGTCAA